ATAGTAGAGGTCAATTTTAGCCCAATCTTGTTGTTAATGGGGCTTTTTAAATTGTTTTTAATCTAAATTAGTGTTGAAGTTAGGTCTTTCTGTGGATTTCCCTATGTATTGTGAAATATCTAATTAGTTATCATGTGTTTGTGGATACTCTATTTTGGAAATATACTTAAGCCAAAATTTTAAATTATAATATTTTTAAACATAGTGCTAATTTGTAAATTACTTAATAATTTTAAATAAATTTATACTAATGTGATAGAGTTTAATGTTCAAATTTTACCAAACATTAAATTTCAGTAAAAAATTAAGGCAAATTTAATGTTAGTCTTCTGGTGGAATATTAATATTTCTGCAGGGATAATTTATATGTCTCCTATGAGAACTTTAATTTTTTAAAGTTATAGATCAAAAATAATTTTTAAATAATTGGATTTAGATTTTTCAAAATTATATTAATGACTAGAGATAAGTCACTCATTTTAAATTATGCATATTTTCAAATAAAATACTCCTAGTGTTAATGAAATTTTACTCCATTTATAGAAATGTATGTATCCGTATATATGTATGTGCGTATAATAAAACCACCTTTCCTTGTTTTCAGCATTAAGTTGCTCTGAGTGTAAATTTTTATTTGACATTCTAAACTGTACCAAAGAAGAAGTAAATTATTGTTTAACTAACAAAATGCATAGAATTCATATTATGATTTCATGCTTAATACATAAGAAAGCTTCACAAAATGTCCCAAGAAATAGATATATCATTATGATAAAAGGGTCAATTCATCAAGAATACATGACAGTCCTAAATATAATACATCAAAAACAGAACTTCAAATACTTGAAAGAAAAAACTCCTTGGAGGTAACCACTTATAACTAATAACTTACAGATCTTTTGGTATTCAACTCCATAACTCTGGAAATATGCAGTACTTCTTTCCTGTAGTTCTCAATTTACCAGTGTTACACAGTATCAATTGATTTCTGCTTTGGTTGATAAGGAATGTAGCGCACTCATTTCTCAAATCCTGCCAGTAAATTTTTACTTTAGTTCTTTTGTTGGTTATCTTTATGGCTATCAGTAATATACTTTATTTCCTGATCCTTTAATTTTTGGACAGACTCTTTCATTTCTCATTGTTTAGAACGAGAAAATTAGTGCTTCTGCGTTTTCTTCTGCCTCTCTTCCACCTAACCTACTTCTCATCCTCTTTATAACTTACTGTTACTTTTACATTGTTGACATTTATAGCATTTACATTCTACTCTGTAACTACAAGAAGCTGTGTAGCATGGTGTTTAAGAGCTATAGTTTGGAACCAGACTACCTAGGTTTGAATTCTGGCTCCACTATATCTAGCTAAGACCTTGGGCAAGTTACTTAACCTTTCTGTATTTCAGTTTCATCATCTGTAAACTGGGAATAATAATAGTACCTACCTCATGGGATGGTCGTGAGAATCAAATAAATCAATTCATCCAAAGCACATAAAGCAGTGTTTGGCTCATAATAAATATTATGTAAATAGTACTTACTGTGGCTTTTATTTTATGATAATTTTTATATGCTTTGTCTTATATTGAGTCTAAGTGTTGAAAACCAATCAAATTTAGAATATTATGAAGTTTAAAAGAAATGTGCTTGGCAAAATATATTCATGGGGGTTATAATTCAATGTCACTAAACCTGTAGTACTTGAAGGATAATAAAACTAACAAAAAATGGGAAGGGGCAGAAAGAGATAAGAGGGTAACATCTTGTAATTTTTTAAAATAACTATTATATATCTTCAAGGAGCCCTGGTGGCACAGTGGCTAAAAGCGCTTGGCTGCTAATCAAAAAGTCAGCGGTTTGAACCCACCAGCCTCTCCTCGGGAGAAAGATGTGGTAGTTTGCCTCCGTAAAGATGACAGCCTTGGAAAACCTGTGGGGCAGTTCTACTCTGTCCTCTGGGGTCTCTCTGAGTCGGAATCGACTCGATGTCAGTGGGGGTGGGTATTACATGTCTTCACATTAACATTTGTGTAATCTAGTTTCTTAAATCAGTGAATGTACAATAGTTTTGAAGCCTCTAGTCAAACATTAATTAGTCAGTTGTAATTTGAATGTTCAAGGTCTGAATAATCTTTTCTGTCAAATAATTTAATTATGAAGCATTTAAAAATTGTATTGAAAGCCTTATAAACATAATCTCACTGTTTTTTTTTTTTTAATAGGTTCCAATTTATTGTGCCTAAAGAATGGAAAAGCAAATACAGACCAGTATGTATTCATCTTGCTGGAACAGGAGATCATGTAAGACTTTATTATAACACCTTAATCCCGAAATAATTTGTTAACGTATTCTCTTTATCAGATGTGCTTATTACATTCTTTAATTATGTCATCTTTTCTTTCCTTAGCATTACTGGAGGCGAAGAACATTGATGGCTCGTCCTATGATTAAAGAAGCTCGAATGGCTTCTTTGTTATTAGAAAACCCTTATTATATCCTTTTGTGATAACTAAGAAATGTTTTGTTTATTGATTTACTTAATCATCAAAAGAAAGGATACAGGGTAAACAGCGTTCTAAACTAGTTAAATTTAGTGGTTGGTTCAGAAAATACTTAAGCAAGAGTGAAAAATTGTTTCATGACTTTTAAAAACCAACATAAGGATTTATAAAAAAATAAATCGTACTTCTTTTTCTGGTGAGAGTTATGCTAGATTTTAATATCAGTAAGTCAAAGGGTTGCTATTTAAGGAAACCCTTGTGTTTTAAATGCATTTACAGTATCAGCTGAGGTTTAGAACAGTTCTTAATTTTCAAGATGATGTCAGACTTTTCAAAGAAGAAGACACGAAACTGATGCACAGATATAAAGAAATGTTCAACATTAATGGTAATAAAAAATGTAAAATTAAAGCAACAATAGCAAAAGATTTTAAAAATAAAACAGTACTTGTGAGGCTATTGTGAAATGGGTACTCTCATTCCTGATGACTAAAACTCCTTTGGGAAAGCATGTTTACCATATGTATCAGGAGCCTTAAAATACCTTACATCACTTTACAAAGTGATTTTGATTCTGGGAAATTTATTTTAAGGATAAGACACTGAGAGAAGAGAAAACCTAAAGATATTTATATAGCTTTATTTATAATACTTAAATTCTAGAAATAGCTTAAATGTCTAACAATAGAGAAATGGTTGAGTAAACTGTGGTTCATAATATTGGAATATTATGCAGTAGATTGTGCTTCATTTACTGGTCTACCACTTACTGCTTGTATGACCTTGGACCTCTTATTTAACCTTCAGTACCTCAGTTTTCTCATTGATAAGTGGGAATAAGCTCTTAAGTTACTCAGAGGATTAAATACTTAATACTGCCTAGAACAGTGCCTGGTAAATAGTAAGCATTCAGTAAGTTTTAATTGTTAGTTATTATTTAAAAGTTTATAATAATGTACAAAAAGTAATTATGATGCAAAAATAAGGGATATAAAACTCTATGATGTGATGCAGTTACGCATAAAAATCTACAAACAGAAAATCCAAAACAAAAACTGTACAAAAGGAAAGCTACAGGAAATAAATAACATCCAAATGATTGTCTGTAGTCTTTCCTCTATCTGCTTTTCTGTATTTTTAGATCTTCTAGAATAAACATGACTGTATAAAATGAAAGAAACCAAACATTTAAAAGAAATAAACATTTTAAAATTAAGTTGAAGCTTGCACAATCCTGTGAATATACTAAAAAATATTGAATTGCATACTTTAAATGGGTGAATTGTATGGTATGTGATTATATCTCAGTAAAGCATTTAGAAAAAGAAAAATAAGTTGGATAAGTTGAGACCTTCTAAACAGCCTACTTGAAATAACTAGAAAGGTTATTTTTATATTTAATTTATATTTCATATTTAAGTCTTCCAATTTAATTACTTTAAGTTATTGTGCTTTGAGATATAGAGTATATTTAATTATTTTAAAACTTTCTCTTTGACCCACATTCTTAAATGGCTGCAGGAAGCCCAAAGACCAAGTGTAAGTATAGTATCACCTTCATTTTTATAGGCATTTTACCAAATTTTCAGCAATAGTAAAATTTTGGTAGCCTTTCAGTTAACCATTTCTAAGTTTAATATCCTGCTGTTGTTGGGGGGAAAATCTGTTGTAAAACTGTAGTAAAAATGAGTAGAAATGACTTAAATTTTCAGTTTAACATCTTTGTTTTTTAATGTCTGGCAAGGAGATATAGTAACAAATTTTAGTAGGGTGATTTAAGATATGCTTCATTTGTAAGACTAACTGAAGAAATGATAAAATTTTCCTTTTTCAAGTACATTTTACTTTGTGAAGTTAAACACTTTACTCTTTTTATTCTTGCAATGCATAGTATAGAAAATCTGAGGATAAACTTTCCTTTTCTGGTCTTTTTAAGGAACTTCCAAAGCTTTTTTTTTTGCATTTCCACAATCTATATTGTGTTTGGTTTTGATTCATTCAATAAATATTTGACCCTGGAAACTGGGAGTATAGCAACAGTATGACAAAGTCCTTAGTCTCATAGACCTTCTATTCTAGTATGGGAGATAGATAAAAACAGTAAGATAATTGCAGGTATTTTTCAGTGCTATGAAGAAAATAAAGCAAGGTAATGGTTTAGAGAGTAATAGGGGTGTAGGGCAGGAGCAGTATTAGATAAGAGGACATGATAGGATAGGAAGGTGAAGACCTGGAGGAAGATCAGTCACAGAGAAGGAACAGCAGGTGAAAAACCTAAAGTGAGCATGAGGTGGGGAGAGTAGTACAAGATGAGGTCAGAGAGGTAAAGAAGGGCCAGATTATGAAGGACCACCATGCTTTGATTTTACTGTAAATGCAGGGGAATGGTCTGGTTTATGTCTTTAAAAGGTTATTTTGGCTTCTGGGGGCAAGAGTAGCAGCAGAGAAACCAGATAGGCTATTGCAATAATGCAGAAAAGAGATAATGAAGACTTTAAGGTGGCAACAGTGGAAATGGAGACAAATTTTAAGGGATTTGGGATATAATTTGGAAGTTGAAATGATAAGACTTGTTGATGGATTGGATATTATGGGTGGAAAATCAAAAGTTCTGATTTGGACGTGTTAAAGTTGTGATGTCTGTTAGACCTTCAAGTAGGGAGTTTGAAAGTGCTTTAGACATAGATTTGGAAGTCACATGTTATATGTGGTCATGACATAAAAGAGGTACAGATGAAAGTAGATGGAGTAGAGGCAAACCTATATGGTACAGAGGCTAGTTTAGAATGAACTTTGTGAAAAATTAAAGCTCAAGCTAAATAGTTCAAGAATTCTCACTCTGGAACCAAGTCCTGAATTCAGAAGGAGGTGTGTTGATATTTACCTTATCCATAGATGGTTAAACACCAAAAAGAGTTAAGTTGTGAGAGGTATCAGGGGGTTAATAGAAAGATTCTAACTTTAGAGTCATACAGACACAGATTGGAATTTTAACTTGCCATTTTCTAACTTTGTGACCTTGGCCTCTGAGTATCAGTTACCTCATTTATAAAATGTGAGTTTTATATAATTTTTTTCAAATTTATTCATCATAAGTAAGAAGTAGCTTGCAATTTAAACCATAAGCAGTTACTTTTCTTTTTTAAAAAAAGCCATCTATGTCTATTTTCATCAAAAAGTGGTTAAACAGTTTGAGACTGGATCCATCATTATAAATAACTACCATTCAGAGTCTTGTATCAGTAACTTCTGTGTAAAAGAGCAAATTAGAGTGAACCTGAGAACTCCAGACTTCCATACCAGGCTAACATAGTCAGGGGAATATGTAATCACAATAGAAAAATAGCTTGAGGATGGGAAACAAAGGTAGGTGTAAATGGGCTCTTTTCTAATGAAACATGAGTATGACCTGTTTTTACAAAAGATAACATAGTTTCCATGAAGAAAACAATGTTTCCCAGACTTGGAACTCTGAGAAGGCCTTGATAGGACAACGGACATAAGCTCCTTGGGGGCCACAATTCTGTTTTTCACAACTTGGTGTTCTTTTTGGCACCTAGTTCTTTACACATAATAATTATTATATGTTTTTATCACTATATAGGGATGATTCTGGGATCTCAAAAGATGCATTTAAGTACTTCTTACAAGGAAATTACTTCTATGTAAAATAAATCATTTTCTAAAAACAGAAAATACCAGTTGAATTGACCTTTATTTAAATTTATTAAAACGTGTTCTTCTTTAAAATTTTATTTTTCCAGTATTAATTCATATGTTGTTTATTTTGTGAAAATAACATTTAAAATTCAGTAAGATGTCAGTCCAGTATTAAGTAAATTCCTTTACATTGCATTTTTTCTTTAAATTTTTTAGTTCTATTGTAATGATTTCTAAGGGGAAAAATCTGTAAATTTGTTTTTCCTTTTATCAACTGATATTCTCACTAAAAAAATTAACAGTAAAGAAATACTATTTTCCCATAGCTATTTTAACAGTTTTCAAATGGTATCAAGTAAATATTTTTTCTGGACTTTAAAATAGTCATTTAAATAGGTGAAATTCAATTAAGCTATTATCCTTATTGAGATTCAATAAAGATTATATGTTACAGAGCAAGTATACATTTATTTAAAATGTTTTAGGTGATTAACATGTAGAACAGTGTTAGCAGCACTCTGATTTCATCAATATCAATGTATTTGTTTTACTTTAGTTGTCTGGTCCTTTAAAAGAAAAGCATGAAGTCTGGCTGCCTGTTGTAAATTTGCATATATTGAAATGTAAATGCAGAAAATAAATCATTTTCTATTTTGTTTTGTGAGACTAGAAGGTCCAGCTTAAAAAACGTGTCTGACCTTTTTGTGATGGGAGGAGCTCTTGTTTTAGAATCTGCAGCTCTCTTGCACTGGCTGGAGAGGGAGGGTTATGGACCTCTGGGAATGACCGGAATATCCATGGGAGGACACGTAAGCCTTTCATTTCAATTTATATTTAACTGAGATTATGTTTATAATATCTAGGGAATCTGATTATTTTAAAAATTTGCTTTAGGTATAGAATTATTTTTAGTTTTGGTGAAAGTGGGAAGCAGACACAAATTCTAAACTTTCATTCCATTTATGAAGTAATGATTTATGTATAAGTTGATTGTACTACTCCACAGTTATATCTCATATATTGCATTTAATATTTTATTAAAAGCAGGTTATAAAATTTAAATTTTCAAATCTCAAGTATAAATGCCATATTTTACTGTTAAATTGGTCAAGATAGCTAATTGAGGAAATACTTTTCATTCATCTCAGCCCCATCCCCAGTGCCACCAACCTGTTTCACCCTCATCTGTCTCCTAGAGTGTATTAAAACAATGTCCTAATTCATTCTCTACCTCTAGTCTTTTCTGTCATTAATTTTTTTCTCAAATTTTTCTCCACCCCATAGCTACAGTGATCTAAATCTGATCTCTGCTCTCCCTTGCTTAAAACCTACCAAAGATTTGCTGTTACATTGGGCTCTACCTTTGCCACATGCTAACATCCCTGTAGTGTTCCCCTCATCCCTTTTCACCTAACCAATTAACAGCCTACCCTTCAAGTCACAGTTTAGAGCTTCCTTCCAATGAGAAGCTCGTCCTAACTCCCATCCCTCTCCCCAGACTACACTTCATCTCCCATTAGTGCTTTTTCATTATACTTTGATTACTTGTTTAGCAGTCTGTTTTCTCCATGAAGCAGTAGGTTTTATGAGGGCCAGGAATATGCCTGTCTGCTTCATTATCTGGCATATATTAGTCACAGAGTACTTTTTTTGAAATAAGTATATGAAGTTTCTGTAAATCATTTGAATTATAAAATTAAGTCTAAAATCTTATTCAAATTGAAAACAGCTACCGGACAGTGAAACTGAAGGGTATAGGGATATATTTTAGTGCCTAGTAGTATTTCCATAAGGAGCCCTGGTGGTGCCAGTGGTTAAAGCATTCGGCTGCTAACCTAAATGTTAGTGGTTTGAACCCACCAGCTGCTCCACAGGAGAAAGATGGGGCAGTCTGCTTCTGCAAGGGTTACAGCCTTGGAAACCCTATGGGGCAGTTCTATTCTGCCCTATAGTGTTGCTATGGGTCGGAACCAACCCCTACAGCAACGGGTTTGGTTTTGGTTTAGTGTTTTCATTGTTATGACTTACTTCAAGTTCTTCTAACTTTTACCTGGACTACTGCCTATTAACTGGTCTCAAAATCTCACCCTCTCTAATCACACCTGTAAGTTACTATCAGTTTAGCATCCTTAAATAACTTGATTAATCATGCCACTCCTTTACTCAGGCCTCTTTATTAATCCCTCATTAACTTCAGAATAAAAGAACCTCTAATCTGATCCTGATAAGTCTTTCCAGCCCTACCTATCCCCAGTCTTATTAGCCACATGTGCCTTATTGACTAGCCAAAGTGAAGTATATTGGCTGTTCCCCTTCTATACCTTGTGCTTTCTCACCATCTCTCCTTTGATCATACTGTCTCCTTTATATGGAAGACAAGGCCCTCATCTTTCATTCTCCCTAAAAGACTCAGCCATTTTATGAAGCCTTCTCTGACTCCTCCAGTCAAAAGTAACTCCCCCACCCCCAAACCAGGGCTTCAGATCAGTTTGAATTGGTTCAGTCATGGCTGATGAAGTGAAACCAGAACAGACCTAATTTTTTACAATTTGGGTGAACCAAAACAGTAACCGAAATGGGAAAAATTACGGGTCAAGCCCTGGAATGGGAGACTCGGAAGAGGTGTAGTAAGCCCTTTCAGGAACCTCATGTGTGAGATTAGATTATTGGCAGGGCTGTGGAGAGCGACATTTGAAACAGCAGTCAGGCACCATCTTTGAGTGGGACACCAGTGTTTCTGACTCGGATCAAAATCCGACTCGTATCAAAATCCAACAAGCAAGAGATTTGGTTGCTGTGTAACGCGTACATTGCCCTTGTTTTCTAAGAGGGAGATTAGGTTTCTAGCAGGGCTTTGACCTGTAATTTTTCCCATTCCAGTTATTGTTCCAGTTCACCAAAATTTTTAAAATTCAAATATGTTCTGGTTTTGCTTCCTTGGCCATGACTGAACCAGGAGGAACCGGTTCAAAGCCCTGCTCTGGACACACACATTACAGTATTTTATACCAGTTATAAAGTCTACTCTGGAATTTACCAAATTCTTGGCATGCTCCAGTCAACCTCAAAGGTCTGAGGTTTTATAGTTGTGGTTTTGTTGAACATGAACAAGTCACTTAGGTAATGATTGTGCTAATCCTACAGCCTAGCATCTACATCTCAGCTCATTTGCTCTATACTTACCCAGTAGAAAGTTGCTCTCAGTGAGGGGTCTTTTGGGGTCACATAAATTTTCTTATACTTTATTACTTTCTGAGCAGGAGATTATACGTCATTGTTGAATTTATGATTTGGGCAGTTTGAGGATGTTGCTAGACGTTCTCACAAGTGTTTAGAGACTGTGTGTTTGTGTCTTACCAACTACTGCACAAAGTTATTTTGTAATACTACTGTTTTTCTATTTTAATGAATGGAAACTTTAAAGAGAAACTCTCTAAACTGACTATTATTATATTACAGATGGCTTCCTTAGCAGTATCCAACTGGCCTAAGCCCATGCCATTGATTCCTTGTCTATCTTGGTCCACAGCATCTGGGGTCTTTACTACGGTAATTTAATTTCAGCTAATATTTAGGTACCTGTATATAATTTGATTGTTTTAGGGTTCCCATAGCCACTCTTAGATTTGGTGATTGTTGGAAGGATCACAGGACTCAGCATATATTCATACTCATGGCTAAAGATTTATTACAGTAAATGGATACAAAGCAAAGTCAGCAAAGGGAAAGGCACAAGCATGAAGTCTAGACGAAACCAAGCATGAGCTTCCAAGAGTTCTCTCCCAGTGAAGTCTAACAGGACATATTTAATTCCTCCAGCAATGAGTTGTGACAGTATTTACAGAGTGTTGCCTACTAGGGAAGCTCTCCTAAGCTAGGAGTCCAGGGTTTTTATCAGAGGTTGGTTACTTAGGCACCCTTTGCCTAGCATATTCCAAAATTCCAGAAGGAAAGCAAGTGTTCAGCAGAAACTACATTGTTTATACAAACAGGCATAGTGACCTACAGTTATTATTAGGGAACGGTTTATGTGAGTATAAGGAACTGTTTACCAGTCAAGTTCCCACATGTCAGCCAAGGGCCAACCTTGCAAGCGGGCCTTTCTAAGGATAGATAATCTCAGGCCTGCTACAATAACTTTTCTGCAGACTAATATTAATAAAAATATTAGACAAATACTTTGTGATGTGATTTGATCTTAATTTAGCTTATTATTTCAGGGTGTATTGAGTAAATCAGTTAATTGGAGGGAGCTGGAAAAGCAATATTATACACAAACAGTTTATGAAGAAGAAATTATTCACATGCTTGAATACTGTGGAGTAAGTATTTTTAATTTCTGCATAACATTAGGAGAAAAATGATTGTGTTAAAAGATTTTTTTTTTAATTGTTGTAATTAAATGAAGTTTACATTTCAAGTTAGTCTCCCATGCAAATTTTTTTTTTTTTACATTCATTGTTATGAGACCTTAATTGCTCACCCCATTCTGCGACAGCAGACTCCTCCTTTCCGTCCCTGATTCCCATGACCATTCAACCAGCTCCTAACTCTCTCTGCCTTCCCATCTCACCTCTGGACAGAAGCTGCCCCTCTGGTCTCTTGTATCTACTTGAAAGAGGCACATTCTTCACGAGTATCACTTTATGTCCCACAGTCCAGTCCAATCCTTGTCTGAAGAGTTGGCCTCAGAAATTGTTTTAGTTCTAGGCTAATAGAGAGTCCAGGGGCCATGCTTTCCGGGGTGCCTCCAGTCTCAGTCAGACCATTAAGTCTGGTCTTCTTAATAGAATTTGAGTTCTGCACCCCATCCTTCTACTGCTCCATCAGGGACTCTCTGTTTTTTTCCCTGTCAGGACGTTCCTTGGTGGTAGCCGGGCACCATCTAGTTCTTCTGGTCTGAGGCTGATGAAGTCTCTGGTTTATGTGGCCCATTCTGTCTCTTGGGCTAATGGTTTCCTTGTGTCTTTGGTGTTCTTTGTTCTCCTTTACTCCAAGTGGTTGGGACCAATTGATGCATCTTAGATAGCTGCTTGCAAGCTTTTAAGACCCCAGACAAAAAGATTTAAGCTTTTAAAGAGAATAGTAAACATTTTTTAAATCAGTTGTATACACTATTTTTTCATTTTTCCAAAAATTTATTTTAAAAACAGATACCGAGAGTCATGCAAAGCAGATGCATGGCTTAGTCAGTTTATTAAAAGGTAAGCATACTTGTAACTACACCTAGGTCAAGACATAGGACTTAGCCACCTACCCTAGAATCCTTTTCCATGTGTCCTGTTTGCAAGTCCCTCCACCCAATTAGTAATCATTATCTTGATTATTATAGTAATTATTTCCTGTCTTTAAAATAATTTTATTATCCAAATGTGGATCCCTAAACACTGTGATTGTTGTTGTTAGGTTCCGTTGAGTAGGTTCTGACACATAGCAACCCTGTGTACAACAGAATGAAACACTGCCTGGTCCTGTGCCATCCTCACAATCATTGCTATGTTTGAGCCCATTGTTGTAGTCACTGGGTCAGTCCATCCCATTGAGGGTCTCCCTCTTTTTCACTGAACCTCTACTTTACCAAGCATGATGTCCTTCTCCAGGGACTGGCCCCTCCTGATAACATGTCCAAAGTACATGAGACAAAGTCTCATCATCCTCCTAAGGAGCATTCAGGTTGTACTTCTTCCAAGACAGATTTGCTTGTTCTTCTGGCAGTCTACTGAAATGGCTGAATGTCACAATTCTTTTTGGTACAGCAACTCTGTGTATTCTTTCTATCTTCTTTTGATGCTTCCTGCATCATTCAATATTTTGCCCGTAGAATCCTTCAGTATTACAACCCGAGGCTTGAATTCTTTCTTCAGTTCCTTCAGCTTGAGAAATGCTAAAGCATGTTCTTCCCTTTTTATTTTCTAACTCTGGGTCTTTGCACATTTCGTTCAGCTCTTTTACTTCATCATTTGCTTTAGTTACTCTGTTCAAGAGCAAATTTCAGAGTCTCTTCTGATACCCATTTTGGTCTTTTCTTTCTTTCCTGTCTTTTTAATGACCTTTGGCTTTCTTCCTGTATAATGTCCTTACTGTCATCCCACAACTTGTCTGGTCTTTGGTCATTAGTGTTCATTGCGTCAAATCTATTCTTGAGATGGTCTCTAAATTCAGGTGGGATATACTCAAGGTTGTACTTTAGCTCTTGTGGACTGGTTTTCATTTTCTTCAACTTCAACTTGAACTTGCATATGAATAATCGATGGTCTGTTCCACAGTTGGCTCCTGGCCTTATTCTAACTGATGATACTGAGCTTCTCCATTGTCTCTTTCCACAGATGTGGTCGATTTGATTCCTGTGTATTCCATCTGGTGAGATCCATGTATACAGTCACTGTTTATGTTGTTGAAAAAAGGTATTTCCAATGAACAGGTTGTTGGTCTTGCAAAATTCTGTCATGCAATATCTGGCGTCATTTCCATCAGCCAGGCCATATTTTCCAACTACCAATCCTTCTTTTTCCAACTTTCGCATTACAATCACCACTAGTTATCAGTGTACTTGATTGCATGTTTGATCAATTTCAGACTGCAGAAGTTGGTAAAAATCTTCAGTTTCTTCATCTTTGGCGTTACTGGTTGGTGCATAAATTTGAATAATAGTCATATAACTGGTCTTCTGGTGGACGTATGGATATCATCCTATCACTGACGGCATTGTACTTCAGGATAAATATTGAAATGTTCCTTTTGACAATGAATGTGATGCCGTTCCTCTTCATTTTGTCATTCCCAGCATAGTGAACTGTATGATTACCTGAATCAAAATGGCCAGTACCAGTCCATTTCAGCTCACTAATGCCTAGGATATCTATCTTCAAGGGTTCCATTTCACTTTTTACAACTTCCGGTTTTCCTAGATTCATACTTTGTATGTTCTGCTTTCCCATTATTATGGATGTTTGCAGCTGTTTCTTTTCATTTTGAGTCATGGCCCTAGATACTATACTTCTTTAATTTGATATGTCTTTTAATCTGTAGGTTCCCCTTCCATTCCTTTCTTTTATAATTCCCTGTTAAAAAGCTTGGACTATTTGACATGTAGTTTCTCACAGTCTTGATTTTGCTAATCACGTTCTAATGGTACAGTTCAGCACATTCCTTCACACTCTGTATTGCCAGCAAATTGGCAGCTGGATCTAGAGAATTGCTTAGACTCAGTTTCAGTTTCTTTGTCAAGACTATATAGGAAGCATGTAATGTCTGGGCATCTGTCTTTTTCTGATGTAAATCTCCATTGATCCTTATTGCCTGTATCTGTTAATTCATTAAGGGTTAACAAAATGCTGATATTCTAATTCAGTAATTTCTTTTTCACTTATTACTTTGAGTACTTTTATAAAGAGACACTTTCCTCATCTATTATTCAGTTACCTACTGGTTCAATTCATTTAAAAGGCAGATAAATGCTTGATTTTTTCTTAATTTACCAGTTTTCAAGATAATGAATTGGTTCTGTATTACTCTCTGAAGGTGACCATTCTTTAATAATATTATAAGCTCAGGAATTTTAAAATTTTGCACATTCAGTGTGAAAGTTGCTGGTATCTCAAGACATCTCAGAAAGAAAAAGAATCTACTATCAGTGACGACTTTTTAGTTACAGTTACATCACTATGAAACTCAATCCTAGAATAGGTCTATCTTGCATAACCTGAAAGGGTAGTTAATTGCTTGCCTTAGAACTTTATTATAAAATAACTTTACCTATTTACTGAGACTGGAGGGACCCCAGAAGACATGGCCCCCGGACTGTCTGTTAGCCCAAAACTAAAACCATTTCTGAGGCCAACTCTTCAGACAAAGATTAGACTGGACTATGGGACATGAAATGATACTTGTGAAGAGTGTGCTTCTTAGCTCAAGTAGATACTTGAGACTAAATGGGGAGCTCCTATCCTAAGGTGAGATGAGAAGGCAGAGAGGGTCAGAAGCTGGTTGAATGGACATGGGAAATCAGGGGTGGAATGGAGGAGTGTGCTGTCACAGTATAGGGAAAGCAACTAGGGTCACATAACAATGTATGTAAAAATTTTTGTATGAGAGACTAACTTGAATTGTAAACTTTCGCTTAAAGCACAAAACAAAACAACTTTACCTGCAAGGTAGTTTACCTGCAAGGTAGTGCTTAGTGTATGCATGTAATCAGAAAGATACCTGTATTTGAAAGTTTATGAAAAAAATTACACATTTTTTAAAGGTAATTTTTAAATTTTGGTCACCTGAAATGGCAACATAGTCTGACTCGGAACTTCTTTCTCTGTGCCTCCGACTCTTGGTAGTTGTGTACCAGGGTCTTTTTGTCTCAGAACCAGTTCACAGTATGAATATTCAATAAATGTCAATATGACTTCTTTAATTTTTATTTAAAAAACTGTGGTTTCCCAATCAAAAGAAGCTTAATTTGTTGGTGTGCCAGTCTGAGTAATTTTAGGATGCTTTGATCCCGTATTTCCAGGTGTTACTAAACCTTTGGAAATTTGTGGCTTTAGTGATTTGTTCTTATCCAGGTTGTTGGTTTTGTTTTGTTTTTTCCTTTATTTTCAACCAATTTTTAATTTTTTGAAAAGATTAGATAGCCATATAGTAAAAAAATTAAAAAGCATAGAAAGGTATATACTGGAGTCCTAGCCCTGCTCCCTATTTGCCTAGGTCCTGTGCCCCTCAACAAATAACCCACTATGTTATTGTTTAGTATTTCAGGAATTTTTTTTTTTTGTCTATATACAAACCAATACAATAACATGCTTTTTTTTCTCTCCCCCTTCCTTTTTTTTTTTTTTAACAGTGGTTACAAACTATACAAAAAAGTTTCATTATTCTTTGTTACTGATGCATAAGTCTATTTTATTGATGACATACCATTATTTATTAACTAGTACCCTATAGATGGACATTTATGTTGTTTCTCATCTTTCACTATTAACAGTGCTACAGTGATAACTTTGTACATATATTATTTCACAAGTGTAAATTTCTAGAAATGTTATTACTGGGCCAAAGGGTATATGGATTTGTAATGTGGGTAGATTTTGTCTAATTCTAATTTTGTCTAATTGTACATATTTACACTGCCAGCAGGGATATGAGTGTCTGTTTCCCCATAAGTGTACCAGTTTAGTGTGTTATGAAACTTACAGGTTTTTTTTTGTCAACCTGATACTGAAAAATAGTATAGATTTTAATTTACTTAATTATATGAGTGAAGTTGGGCATCTTTTTATAAGCTTAAGAGCCATTTGTATTTAATTCTCTGTGAACTTTATGTGCATATCCTTTGCTCATTTTCCTATTGTGGTATTGGTCTTTTAAAAATTATTCACTTCTAGCTCTTTAAAAATTAAAGCAATTAGTCATGAGTTGCAAATATATTTTCTCAGGATGTTATTTTTCATTTTTTAAAGTTCATTATGGTAAAATATATCTATAACATAAAATTTGCCACTTTTACAATATTAAGTATACAACTCAGTGATATTAATTACATCCACAATGTTGTGCAGCCATCCAAACTAGTTGTCAGTGCATTGATTCCAATTCATGGCGACCCCATATGTGTCATAGTAGAACTGTGCTCCATAAGGTTTTCAGTGGCTAATTTTTTTTCAGATGTAGATCACCAGGCCTTTCTTTTGAGGCACCTCTGAGTAGACTCAAACCTCCAACCTTTCGGTTAACAGCCGATCACACATTTACCATTTGCACCACCTAAGTGCTCTGTGCAACCATCACCACTACCCATTTCCAAAACTTCTTCATCATCCTAAACAGAAACTCAGTACTCATTAAGCAATAACTCCCCAATCATTTTTCTTTTGATTTTGCTTTAGTGTTTAACAAAGTTTTAACTTAAATATGTTGTATTTACAAGTGCATAAACTTAGAACATGCTTTTGAGACTTTAAACAAAATATTTTTTCTTTGAAAATCTTCAGTTTTTAGTTCAACTTGGGAAAGTGGTTTGGGGGTAACAGGTCAATATGGGAGTAACCCTGGTTGCACAGTGGTTAAGCGCTCGGTTGCTAATCAAAAGGTAGGCAGTTTGAAGCCACCAGCCCCTCTGCAGGAGAAAGATGTGGCAGTCTCCTTCCATAAAGATTACAGCCTTGGAAACCCTATGGGGGCAGTTCTGCTCTGTCCTGTAGGTCACTGTGATTCAGAATTGACTAGATGGCAACAGATTTGTTTTTTTGGTTTAGGCTTACAAAGGAGCCCTGGTGGCATAGCGGTCAAGTGCTCAGCTGCTAATCACAAGGTCGGCAGTTTGAATCTACCACCGCTCTGCAGGAGAAAGATGTAGCAGTCTGCTTCATTAAAGATTACAGCCTTGGAAATCCTACTAGGCAGTTCTGCTCTGTCCCATAGAGTCACTATGAGTCGGAATCGACTTGACAACAGCAAGTTTGGTTTTGGTTTGGTGTCAGTAAGAAAATGAAATATTTTCTCCTGTGCTTGAATTTACATTACTGCCATGATACACTTATCAAACTTTTAAAAGTTCTAAGGCTAAGGCAGAACATAGATTTCAAAACTTTAGCAATAAAAACATGATACAGACTAAATGATACCCTTCAGTAGGAAACATTTAGCAATAAAGTATGTCATTTATCGTAGTCCATTGTTAAATTTTGACATACGCTTTCCTGTTTGTTTTAACAAGGTTGTTAAATAAAACCCTATTTTATATTAAATGATGTTTTCTTTTTTGTTTTTCATATATTCAGGTGGATTCTTTCAAAATGGGACAAGAGTTCGTGAAACATTTTCCTAGCAGTGAAGACAAGCTAACTAACCTTAATCTGTTTTCCAGAACTTTAAAGTTAGATTTGACAGACCAAGTTGTGTCCCAAAAATCTGCTGAGTGCCATAGTTGTAATAAAACATCTTCTAGTACCACATCAGAAGGACTCTTGTTGCAAGATACCTCTAAGATGGACTGCTTCAATCAACCACTTCCAACCAACAAAAGTAGTTACAGAGGTTGCAGTAGTCAGTCGTACCACCTACTCAGTAAAGAACAAAGAAGAAGTCATCTCCAGAAAGAATCTTTAAAATTTATGAAAGGAGTCATGGATGAATGTACTCATGTAGCAAATTTCTCAGGTGCTAATTTTTTATGAAATTGAAAATATTTGCTGATAATGTAAATATTTGTGAACTATTTTTGAGGATATTTCATATTTTTAAGGGAGTCAGTCTTTATGATAGACTCCAGAATGTGTTCTCCAAGATAATATGGTTACTTAACTGTCTCATATTTTATCCATGAAAATCTGAGACTATCGTATTTGTTTATTAAAAAGCACATTGAAAAGAACACACTGGATTTTGTATCTTGTTTAGAATATTTGTCTCATTTTATTAGAGATGAACATTATGATATATTACAGTTGATTTTTTAACTTAATCAAAAAATTTTAGGTGAACATGTTTCACTGTACTGTATGTGTTTTATTTTCTCATATGATAATAGTATTTATATAAAAATCTTAGAGTTTTTAAAAGTATGTGTGTTGCCTTTTTTAAAATCCTATACCTAGTTCCAGTTGACCCAAGCCTAATTATAGTGGTTCAAGCCAAAGAAGATGCCTATATTCCACGAACAGGAGTTCGAAGTCTACAAGAAATTTGGCCTGGTTGTGAAGTCCGATATCTAGAAGGGGGTCATATTAGTGCTTATCTTTTTAAACAAGGACTCTTTAGGTAAGATGATTGATCTAAATAGGTGTTTATTTGTTGTTTGGTTAGTTTTTTGGATTTTTTTGATGTTTCTTGCCTCAAATATAAAAGATTAGGTATTGTATGTTTTAGTCCTCTTATCTCCCCCCGCCTCCCTCAAATCTCACATTGTCGTCCTTTTCCATCTCATCCTCTCTTCTTTTTCTTCTAGAGAACTGGGGAAATAGCATATCATAGTCATACTTTATTGTATGCTTTTACCCTCTTCATATATTAATGGCCATGTATTTTATGGTGTGAGGAAGGACATCAGAGTTTGTAAAACTTGCTTTGCATCAAGAGTTTTTCACTCCTTTCTGACGTTCTTCTCACATAATGGCCTGAGCATTTGTGGAATAATCTCATGGTGCTTCTCAGTTAGCTAGAGAATATTGCCCCTTAAATGAGAAGTGAAATAATTGTTTTAATATAAACAATTTTATATGACCCCAGTATTTTAGTTAGAACTTATGAACACTTTTACACTATATCTCCAATTTTCTGATATCCTGCATTATTTCTACTTCTAGCCATGTCTCATTGGCTTGTGTTTGTCATTATCATATTTATTATTGTGTTGTTGTTGTTGTTGCTAGGTGCCATCGAGTTGGTTCCGACTCATAGCAACCCCCAGTACAACAGAACGAAACACTGCCCGGTCCTGCACCATCTTCACAGTTGTTGCTATGTTTGAGCCCATTGTTGCAGCCACTGTATCAGTCCATCTCATTGAGGGTCTTCCTCTCTTTTGCTGACCCTGTACCTTACCAATCATGATGTCCTTGTCCAGGGACTGGTCCCTCCTGATAACATATCCAAAGTACGTAAGACGACATCTTGCCATCTTCACTTCTAAGGAACATTCTGGCAGTACTTCTTCTAAGACAGATTTGTTTGTTCTTCTGGCAGTCTGTGGTATAGTCAATATTCTTTCCCAGCACCATAATTCAAAGGCGTCAATTCTTACGGCTTCCCTATTCATTGTCTAGCTTTTGCATGCATGTGAGGAGATTGAAAAAACCATGGCTTGCGTCAGGTACACCTTGGTCCTTAAAGTGACATCTTTGCTTTGTAATACTTTAAAGAGGTCTTTTGCAGCAGATTGCACAATGCAATATGTAATTTGATTTAACTGCTACTTTGAGCATTGATTGTGGATCCAAGTGAAACGAAATTGTTGACAACTTCAATATTTTCTCTGTTTATCACCAGAGCAAGTGCCCAGAACTAAAATTGTCAAATAGGCAAATGTCTGAGGCCCTCTCTCCTTCTCACCTGTATTCAACTATTGAGGGCTTACGCCTGCCCTCAAAAGAGAATCTCTGTATGTTTACACAAACATGTGAATGTCCAGCTTCAATTTGTTTCCCATCTCATGGTTTATTGCATTTTAACAGGGCAAATTCTTGAGCCAAAGAAATACATGTGTAACAGAAAGCTATTTTTTGCCAGTATATTGGAAATCATAGTCTCTTGGCAGGCTGTCAGTCTTAAAGATCATCTTAATATCTTTTTAAGGATGTGGGGAAATGCTTAGTCAAATAAGTAGGGTTCAAAAGTAATATGATCTTGTGGTTAGTTAAACTGCCTGAAAATATAGACATACGGAATTTAAAAAAAAAAAAAGCCTGGAAGGAAATATATAAAAAGATTAACAGATGCCTTAGGGTGATAGGATTATGACATTTTCCTTTCTATTTTTTTTTTTTTTTATTTTCTGAATATTCTATAATGAAATGTATTATACAATAGGAAAAACCAAAATAAGCTTTTAAAAAAAATTCTTATGGACCTGTGCCAGATCAGTTTGTCTATTCCTTTTCTTTTTTTTTTTTTATGGTGTACTAAGTATTATTTATTTAGACATAACTTCAGTGGTGGGCCAGAACTGGCTTGTGCTGGTTTGTACTGGCTCACGAGAGATAACTGTTAATTTTCAGGAATTATGTGAGCTGTTGACATCATGTTGGTAGCTGAAATTAGACACGGTGGGAGTATTTACGCCATGGAAATGGGCAAATGTTACAAATCAGGGTTTGTTCCTCTCCCAGCCCTGGAGAGCCGGTTGACCAGCACATCGCTGGATAACTCATTCTGTATTCTTGGAGTAATCTTATCACTATGTATCCACTCCAAAATTCAGAAGCTTACCCACAGCCCTCAGCCCAGTAATTTGGTCCCTAAGGGAGTTTGAATTTTGTCCATGGAGCTTCCACGACCTTACCCTGAACAAGTTGTGCCGGCTTCTCCAGTATTGTGTACTGTCTTCCCATTCACCAAAGTTACCATTTATCTATTTAGTGTTTTTCCACCCCACCCCTCCCCTCCCTCGTAACCATGGAAGATTGTATCTTTTTGTGTGTAAACCTTTTCATGGGCTTTTATAGTAGTGGTCTCATACAATATTTGTCCTTTTGTGATTGACTTATTTCACTCAGCATAATGCCCTCCAGATTCATCCATGTTGTGAGATGCTTCACAGATTGATCATTGTTCTTTCTCGTTGCATAGTATTCCATTGTGTGTATGTACCATAGTTTGTTTATCCATTTGTCTGTTGATAGGCATCTAGGTTGTTTCCATCTTTTTGCTATTGTGAACAGTGCTGCAGTGAACATAGGTGTGCATATGTCTATTCGTGTGACAGCGCTCATTTCTCTAGGATATATTACTAGGAGTGGGATTGCTAGATCATATAGTATTTGTAGCTTTCTAAAAAATAAAAAAACATTGCCATTGAGTCACTTCCGACTCATAGTGACCCTACAGGACAGGGTAGAACTGCCCCATAGAGTTTCCAAGGAGCACCTGGTGGATTTGAACTGCTGACATTTTGGTTAGTAGCCGTATCACTTAACCACTACACCACCAGTGTTTCCTCCGCCTTTCTAAGGAAGTGCCGTATCGTTTTCTGAGGTGGTTGCACCATTTTGCTTTCCTACCAGCAGTGCATAAGAGTTCCAATCTCCCCACAGCCTCTCCAACATTTGTTATTTTCTGTTTTTTTGATT